TTGCAAAAGGTTAAATTGCCAAATAGAGATCTAAACGATCAGAGTGGTCAATCCATTCGTGGAATGCGCCACGCGTTCTGGTTGCGATTCAAACGTAATCACCCCCACACGTCCTATACAATGACATGCCGGGGTCAACGAATTTTCCACTCGCAGATGATCAAGTTTCAACTAAGCAGTCGCCGAGGGATGGAATACTTGATTGGTTAGCCAGACTTGGTCCTGGATCTCATTCGTTGACCACGGGTGTGATAGGCTACCTGCCACTACACCGTTCTCACCCAAATAATAAAAATTAGAGATTTAAGGTCTCGTATTTGCTAATTCGGACAAAAATCATACTCGAGTTCGAAGCTGTTGTCGCTCCTCTTCAAATTACTTTTGTCATCGGGTGAGGATGTGTGCGCTACAAAATACTGCGCTGGAGATCTCAATTCACTCTGCTGGCCGATGACTTCGTGAGATCCATATTTCGAAACAGTAAATTGCACCTGGAAATCATTAGCTTCAACATATACATGGATCTGCTCATCCAACCGATACACATATGGCTGTGTTCACAATTTGCAAGGGTGGAAAAGCAGCGATCCTGTCCAGGCGCGAGAAAAAAGTTTTGATTCAGAAAACAAGTTGCTCTCTCTTCTGAGCAGCCCATTACGATCCTCTGCTATGCTCTGCACAACGATGATGTGCCATTGTTCCTAACTAATCGCTCGTCATCGATGCTTCACATTCGCAAAGTATGGGCGCCGCTTCAGGCAAGCGATTATGCGTAAAGTTGTCTTTCACATGAAATAAGAAGTAACAAAATTACTGAACATGAGGAAAAGACAACCAACCCTGTACCTATCCGTTAGATACAATTTATACGGGGTGTTCGCAAAGGCAGATTTTATTTCATCATAGTATTCATTCGATCTTGCCGATCCGATCGGTACTTGATGCAGCTGAAAAAAGGTTCCAGAAATCTTGATGAACGTTCTGAAAATAGTAACTACACAACTTACTCGAGCAACGCTGCACATGTAATGTTTAACGACATCGGGTGAAGTGAACAAATCGGCAGCAAAACGCGTAAAACCAAATCCCTTCATTTCTTGGGTAACAGTCGAGGAAAGTGACGATAAGTTCACCTGAAAATGGCAATGCAAATCCTGTTGGGTTGCCTTATTGATGAGGTCAAAACGAAACAATGGAAATACCAAAGGTGTCTGATTTCTCACATGGCAAGCTGACTGAATAAGCTAACCAATGAACAACTATACCTGCGAAGGAGCAACAACCGTCGAATTAAGCTTCCAGTTGTGTCTACGGTCAGTCAGAAGCGCCTCATCTTCCTTACAACCAAAGATGAACATCGGCAAATCTCGCAGAGCTATCAGATTCTCGAGTAACATTGCCGATTTCGCATCGGGTACCGTCATCTACAAAAAAAGACGTCCTTCACGGAAAAAAAAAATCGAAATTTGAGTGAATAAAGTTTACTCATGTAAACGAACATGAAGAATTGGTACGTATACTGGATGCCGAAATCTATCGCGATTCGCTTGATACCATCGCCATGCCTCATCAGCCATATTGCTGCGCATATTCTCAAGAATACGAACACGACTCTCCATAATCTGTTCAATGCGCTTCTCCTCATCACGCAACTCTAAAATGAGCAGCTTTCATTATCATCAACAGGACTCCGGCATGTGTGAGAACGGCGGGGAGACCATGGAAATTGGGTGCAAAGTAATGGTAAGGTGTGGAAAAAATGCGGTTAGTCAGGATGAGGACCTTAAATGACGGTTCTGGCCTGGTAGCTTACTTAATGCGTCAGAAAAGTAGGAAAGGAGAGGATCCAGGATCATCGAGCGCTATGTAAAGAAGATGGTGCAGACAAAAGAAGAAGATTTGTGCAATCCAGAGAACTGAACTGAGGATTCAGAAGAGCGTAGAACGTGGTGATATCGTGAGAAGATTAACTTAAGAGCACCCCATTACATGCTTGCAGCATTAGATACGTAAAAGCTGCTGTTGCTGGCAGTAAGCACCACGTTGGAGCATGAGCGTCCGCTACAGCTCCGCTGATGCCTGGTTAGGCGGCGTTCATACTATTCGTCGGTGTTTCAAGTATGAACGCCAAGGAAAGGACAAAGAAAGTATCGGTATCGATCTAGCTTTTTGGGATGAACGCCAATGATCTGAGCCCTTAGGGAGAGCGCAAGTTAAGCGAAAGGGAAGTATAGGTAAAGAGCTAGCGTCCAGAGCCGGCATTTACTCAAAAC